TGTTTGAGTGTGTGTGTTTGAGTGTGTGTGTGTGTGTGTGTATGTGTGAGTGTGTCTGTGTGTGTGTGTGAATGTGTGTGTGTGTGTGTGTGTGTGTGTGTGTGTGTGTGTGTGTGTGTGTGTGTGTGTGTGTGTTTGAGTGTGTGTGTTTGAGTGTGTGTGTGTGTGTGTTTGTGTAGTCACACACAGGGTGATGAAATGCGTCTAGTGTGGCAGCATTATTAGTGTTAAGAGCCACCTCTGCTCTCTTCAGCTGCCACCGCTGGCTAGCCCTGTGGCGAACAGGGAACCAACTCTGCAGGTCTTCCCTCACTCACACGCCTTCTCACCATCAAGACTCCTGCTGTGCCTCCTTGTGGCAACACACGGTAACTGGGTGCCTGGGGCCCAGGCTAGATCAGTGGAGGATCCTGGAGTAGCAGTGGGCCCCAGAGGGATGGCGCATCGGCCCACTGGCATGTGGACACGTCCTGGGCCCTACTAACCACCACCCTGCTGCTTTGCGGATTAACCTTGGTAGACATAAGACTATGGGAGTAAACCCCGAACAAAAAATCTGTGGTGGAACCCCGCACCAGGTAGACATGCTTACAGAGCTCCAACATAACCCCAACGGCGGTGTAGGCGGAGGAGGTGACCACCATGGGAACCCAACGACTACACCGGCGGACGAAGGCAATACCTGATGAACAGGCTACTAAGGCGAAACCCAACAAACTGGGCTATCGGCAGTCCATTGCAACTCTCCCTATCCGCAGTCGTTGCAACACTTGCACCACTGGATCAGGAAAAGGGAGACAAGATGTGGTTGCAGCATGCCCGCCACCACATAAATCAACCATGCACAACCATCATCCAGCTCATCATACCTCTCATCATCATCAAAACCCCTTATACCTAAAGTCCTATGGCGACGGACGAGTGGCGACAGGGACAGGCAGAGAGACTGCCGGGAGTCTCTAGTCACAACCTACACATGGGCGGCACAGATAAGATGGTCGATTCTGCACTGGCAATCTAGTGCAATCCGGTCCTGTTTCAGACTGAGAGCTGGGGAGCATTCAGCCACCCCACATGGGGGGCTAGAAAAGATGCTCTAAACATAGCCTGCCTAAAAACCCGAACTGACTGGGCAACCAAAATCACGGATCCAAACAAAAACAAACTATACAGCCTCTTATGGTCGCTGCATGGAATGTCAGGACCCTTCTGGATACTGGCACAAATGAGCGTCCTGAAAGAAGAACTGTCTTGTGACAAAATAGCTGGCTAGGTATAACATGGACATGGCAGCCATCAGTGAGACCCGGCTCCCAGTTGAGGGCCAGCTATATCTTCTTCTGGAAGGGTAAGCCTGCTGCGGAGAAACCGCATTTATGGAGTTGTCTTTGCCATCCGCCAACGCATCCTACACAGGCAACTGAAATGCCAATGGGATCAACGAGCCCCTCATGACGCTTCGAGTCCCACTGAAACACTCACTTCATGCATTCTTCATCAGTGCATTTGCCCCAACACTTGATGCAGAGGAAGACATCAAGGAGGCCTTTTATGCCAACCTCGACGGAGTGCTAACTTCTATCCTCAGAGAAGACAAGGTTGTGCTCCTTGACGACTTCAATGCCAGAGATGGCATCATGGCAGAGATGCTAAGATTAGGCAAGGAACCATAGGGAGAAATGGACTCGGCAAGTGTAATGCCAACTGCCTACTCCTCAGCAAGTGTGCTGCACATAACCTCACTATCCCCAATACCTTGTTTAGGCAGGCCGATACGTTAAAGGGTTCGTGGCAACACCCACGATCCAAACACTGGCATCTCATTGACTACTGTGCATCACTGTTAGAAAAAGAGAACACCGAGATGTCCTCATCACCCGTGTCGTGCGTGGCTCAGACCACTGTGACACTGATCATCGACTTGTCAGATCCAAGATCTCACTTCACATTGCCCCAAAACGGCGAAGGCAGCAAGCCTCCAGAAGAGGTTTAAATATTAAGCGTCTGGAGGATCCAGAGGTAGCACATGCTTCCAGAGCAGCTCGATCACGGGCTTATAAACAACCCAACAGCAAACAACGTGAATCCTAGTTCTGAATGGGATACTCTTAATACTGTTATGACAAAAACCTGCAGACACCCTCGGCCAGATCAAAAGAATACACCAGGACTGGTTTGATGAAAATGACCCGGTAATCAAAGTACTCATCGACGATATACGTGCTGCATAAACTGACTGGCAGAACAACCCTCAGTCTCTGACCAAAGCTGAACCCTTCCGCAAGAAGAAAGAGGCAACCCAGCAGAACTTCGCAATCTAAAGAACGATTGGCTTAAAAATAAAGCATGTGAAGCACAAAAAGTTTCAGATCAGCACAAGATGTGCAAATTTTTAATTTCCACTAGAATATTTTATGGGCCAGTCGATCGTGGCACAGCCCCTCTCCACTCATCTGATGGTAACCGGTCAGACTGTGGCAACTACTGTGGGATCTCATGCTCTCCGCAGCTGGCAAGATTATCGCCTGAGTCCTAAACAGACTTCTTCTCGAGGCAAAAAACTTCCTCCCTGAATCTCAATGTGGTTTTAGACCTTCACGTGGCACCACTGACATGATCTTTGCTGCCCGCCAGATACAGAAAAAGTGCAGAGAATAGCGTCGTGACCTGTACATGGTTTTCATTGACCTAACCAAGGCCTTCGAGTCGGTCAACAGGGAAGCCCTCTGCTGGACCCTCAGCCATTTTGGCTCCCCACCAAAATTCATCATCAATGTGAGGCAACTCCACGATGGCATGAACGGCAGTGTCCTGCACAACGGCACCCAGTCAGAGTTCTTCCCCATCCAAACAGAGGTTAAACAAGGGTGTGTAACAACTCTCTTTTCCATCTTTTAGGTTGCCTTCCTTACTCGTGCCAGTGACAATTTAGCCAGCAGGCTGAACATCGAGTACTGGGAAGGGGTCTTTTCAACATGAGACGCCTCCAGGCAAGAACAAAGGTGTCGGCAGCTTCCATGACTGAACTTCAGTATGCAGACGACCTAACCCTTGTTGCTCACACTGAACACGATCTAAAGGAGATCCTGAACACCTATGCACAGTTCAGCATCGGATAAGATGTGCATCTCAAGCCTTTGGCAGACTCCGAAATCGTGTCTTCAGCTGTAAGGAGCTGAAATTATCTACAAGCTGCACGTATATCGAGCAGTGGTCCTCCCCACTCTGCTATGTGGCTACGAGACATGGGTCACACACAGGAGGCACTTCAAAGCACTTGAAAACTTTCACCAACGTATTCTACGTTCCATCCTCCGAATTTGCTGGGAAGACAAGAGAACAAATGCCAGTATTCTTGCTGACACCAACTGTAGGAGCATCGAGGCTACCATTATCCATGAACAACTACGTTGGACTGGCCATGTTACCTGCATGGACGACAGTACACTGCCAAAGCAGCTACTTTACAGTCACCTAACGAATAGTAAACGTAACGCTGGCGGGCAACTGAAAAGGAATAAGGAAGTCTTAAGACAAACCTGAAAAAGTGCCAAATCGACCCTCATGGGAGACTATTACTCCACACAGTAACGCTTAGAGGAGCACCACACGAGAAGGTGTCATTACTTTCGAGTTAGCTCAACTGCAAACCGAGGCAGACAAGCGCCAATGCCGGAAAAACGCTGCCGTCGCCCCTCCCGCACTCGATGTCAGCCCTCCACATGTGCAACATCTGTGAACAACTCTGCCGGTTCCGTATCGGCCTCCTTAGTCATCTCAGAATTTACCAACCTAGGTGACATTCCTAATAACTCATATCATTGTATCATAGCTGGATGATCGGCATACTCGATCCCGAGTGACAGTAAAGTAGTAGTAGTAGTAGTAGTAGTAGTAGTGTGTGTGTGTGTGTGTGTGTGTGTGTGTGTGTGTGTGTGTGTGTGTGTGTGTGTGTGTGTGTGTGTGTGTGTGTGTGTGTGTGTGTGTGTGTGTGCGCTAGTTTTCCTGCTCATATTTACCATAGAGGTTGTTATCGTTGAATGTGAACTTAAATAACATCACCACGGTTTCCCATAGTCCTCATAAAGAACCATTAATATGTACTACGTGGCCACTGTTCCATAAGAGAGTACCACTTGATAAAGGCGGGGACTAGAGGGGGGAGGAGAGAGAGGGAGACGGGGAGGGGGGGGTGAGGCAGGGGAAGGGCAAGGTCTTCAACAATACACTCTCGTCAACATTACATCACGTCCACTGAGTCATTTAGTTATCTTTGAACAGCCGTCATATGAATAATTCTGGGGTGATTGTGGTGAGATATAAAACCAGTTTAACTCCTTATACCTGTACTGGCCGGAACCAAGATGTGTGTACAAGGTTAGGTTAGGTTAGCTTTAAGGTGATCAATCATAAGGTAAAACAAGTTAGGAGGCTAATCTTCAGGTGCTTCAAAAACGCTCTTACATAGACACATGATAAATGATCATAGTTACACCAGAGAGAGAGAGAGAGAGAGAGAGAGAGAGAGAGAGAGAGAGGATATTATTTATAAGACTCACACACAATAGGAACAACATTGCGTCCAATTACCAAGTTGTCCCAACTTTGAATACTGCAACTCTAGCCTAGCCTGGCCTGGTCTGGCCTAACAACAACTTAACTTAACTTAATTTAACTGAACCTAACTTAACTTAATCTAACATAACCTAGTCTAGCTTAACCTTACCTAACCTGTGTAAGAGAATAATAATTCATAACACACAGTAATTGAATACAAAACAGACGCATATTGTATTACCCGCGACCCTGCTGTCAGTATTACCAAGTCATGTACACAACAACGGGGCTTACACACTGATGCCAGATAAAAGTGATACTCAGTGAACTCATTATACCACGGGATTGATCTCTTAAACAATAAATTACCCATAATTAGTAGTTATTCATGACTGTGTGTGTCTGTGTGGGTGTATGTGTGTGTGTGGGGGAGGACAACTCACCTCTGTGGTTGTTGTGTGTGGTGGTGGTGGTGGTGATGGAGGAGGACAACTCACCCCTGTTTGTGTGGTTGAGGAATACAACCAGAAGACGTTGCAGGTAAGCAGAAGGGCAGACACTAAGACGAGGACAATGGGAGCGGGCGTTGTGCTCATCGTCACAAACAAATCTGTAAGAGAAAACGTGTGTCAGGCTTTATATGTTCTTGCACTAACTATGATATTTGGCCCTAACACTAATTTATTTATTTTTCCATTAAATATACAATATAAATGTGAAAAATACACATCTTATAACATAAATATACTCGTAAATACATTCGTTAAAGAATAACGAAATGCAATTACCTATAATACTTAAAATATATTATTGTCGTTTAATTTTTTTTGACAGAAAACGTAACCCGCCATTTGCCCGGGGTAACTGAACAAAACAAATAATATCCTTTACATAGGGCGATGTGTTACGACCCTAGGGTGAATCGTTACATAAACACAAATCACTTGAGTCTTTCAAATATATCAGTGTTTATTTATGTTATTAATCCCAAGTTCTCCCAACAAAGGTCAAGTTAACAGGTCAAAACATAAACACGTCAATAAAAATATGAACATTTAATAACTTATTCCTACCACCACATATGTACATAAAATAAAATAAATTTAAAAAACAATAATAATACGATAAGATGTTTGGAAGTGGCTGAGTAAGGATTGAAGGTCCAACAAGATCACACAAAATTAATATCAAGCAAAACAAATCACAATACTCAAATAAATGCCAACTCCCAAAACACCAGAGAGAGGGTAAACTACTTAACTTAACACAGCTGTGCCTAGACTGACTACCGATTACCATCCAGCCACTGACGTCACCTCTCTACCGTCAAACACTGACGTATCATATCCTGATTGGCCAACACGTAAACTTTATCTAAATTACCTTACTGACATAGTTCCACTTATCTAGCTTATATACAAACATAGCACAACAACTACACAATGTAATACAACAAATTTAATACATAAAGGATGGTTCAGTCAGTGTGGGCGAGTAATGAGCGAAACTGCCCCAATCAACCGCACACACCATCCGAATCAACGTAATTCATACCAACAGAAACTTATGGCCGACACTTTTGACACGATGTTAACAATATTTTATACTTGAAATTTAAGAAGAAGGGAATTAGAACACGAAAAAAAAACCCGTAATGTAAAGAAAGGGGAACCGTGAGGCGGCATGGGTGGTGGTGGTGTGTGAGCTGGACATGTCGAGAGTAATTTGGGTCATGTCAACACGTTTAGTCTAGGAAGTTAATGGTGGCTAGGTAGAGGGAGCAATGGCCTGGTAGGGGGATGGGGTGGCGAAGAGCAAAGATGGAGTGGGATGGAGTGGGATGGAGTGGCTAGGTAGAGAGAGGGAGGGTGATGTCAACGAGATCAGGGGCGGAGGGAAGAGGTAATGAATGACGGGAGGGGAGGTGAAATGGACGAGGAAGGGGAGGTGGGTGAAGGGAAGGGAAGGTTAGTAATGGAACGGAAGGGGATGTGAGTGAGGGAAGGGAAGGTGAGTTAGAGAAGAAGAGGAAAGAGAGGTGAGTGAGGGAAGGGAGGTAAGGTAGAGCAGGGAAGAGTGGAGTGAGGGAAGGGGAGGTAAGGTAGAGCAGGGAAGGGGGAAGTGAGTGAGGGAAGGGGAGGTAAGGTAGAGCAGGAAGGGGATGTGAGTGAGGGAAGGGAAGGTGAGTTAGAGAAGAAGAGGGAAGAGGTGAGTGAGGGAAGGGAGGTAAGGTAGAGCAGGGAAGGGGGAGGTGAGGTGAGGGAAGGGGAGGTAAGGTAGAGCAGGGAAGGGGGATGTGAGTGAGGGAAGGGAAGGTGAGTTAGAGAAGAAGAGGGAAAGAGAGGTGAGTGAGGGAAGGGGGAGGTAAGGTAGAGCAGGGAAGGGGGAGTGAGTGAGGGAAGGGAGGTAAGGTGAGCAGGAAGGGGAAGGAGTGAGGGAAGGGGAGTAAGGTAGAGCAGGGAAGGGGATGTGAGTGAGGGAAGGGAAGGTGAGTTAGAAGAAGAGGGAAAAGTGAGTGAGGAAGGGAGGGGCAGGGAAGGAAGGGTGGGGAAGGGGAGGTAGGCAGGGAAGGGAAGTGAGTGAGGAAGGGAGGTAGGTAGAGCAGGGAAGGGATGTGAGTGAGGGAAGGGAAGGTGAGTTAGAAGAAGAGGAAAGAGAGGTGAGTGAGGGAAGGGGAGGTAAGGTAGAGCAGGGAAGGGGATGTGAGTGAGGGAAGGAAGGTGAGTTAGAGAAGAAGAGGGAAAGGAGAGGTGAGGAGGAAGGGAGGTAAGGTAGAGCAGGGAGGGAAGTGAGTGAGGGAATGGGAGGTGAGGTAGAGCAGGGAAGGGAAGTGGAGTGAGGGAAGGGAGGTGAGGGGAGGCAGGGAAGGGGAAGTGAGTGAGGGAAGGGAAGGTAAGGTAGAGCAGGGAAGGGGAGTGAGTGAGGGAAGGGAAGGTGAGGTAGAGCAGGGAAGGGGAAGTGGGTGAGGAAGGGAAGGTAAGGTGAGCAGGGAAGGGGGAAGTGAGTGAGGAAGGGAGGTAAGTTAGAGCAGGGAAGGGAGTGAGTGAGGGAATGGGGAGTGAGGTAGAGCAGGGAAGGGGGAGTGAGTGAGGGAAGGGAAGGTGAGGTAGAGCAGGGAAGGGGAAGTGAGTAGGGGAAGGAAGGTAAGGTAGAGCAGGGAAGGGAGTGAGTGAGGGAGGGGAGGTGAGGTAGAGCAGGGAAGGGGGAAGTGAGTGAGGGAAGGGAAGGTGAGGTAGAGCAGGGAAGGGGGAAGTGAGTGAGGGAAGGGAAGGTAAGGTAGAGCAGGGAAGGGGGAAGTGAGTGAGGGAAGGTTTGTCATAACAATACATCATCAGCCATCATAAGCATACCGGGCTTTCATCACTCACACCTCCAGTAACTGAGGCAGCCAACTGTTGGGGTACATACATACATACATACATACATACATACATACATACATACATACATACATACATACATACATACATACATACATTCATACATAAATACATACATACATACATACATACATACATATACATACATACATACATACATAAACATACATAAACATACATACATACACACCCATACATACATACACACACACACACATACATACATACACACATACATATATACACTACAACAAAATTCAGCCCATAAGAGCCCGCACCGATAGATATAAGAACAGCACCATCCCATCTATTGTTAAAATAATAAACAACTCCTGACTTATGTACTGTACAGCCCTGTAAATGTATTCAATGCATATTATATCATTATGTCTAAATCAAATGTAAGTCTGTATATTTTCAGCCACCGGCTGCAACTCTATTAATAAACCGTTTATTATTATTATTATTATTTACATACATACATAATAATGGAAGCCCTTTGGAATCGAGGATGGCCGGCCTTAGGGCCACCTAGGCGTGAATTTGTTTAAGGTGTAGAAGCTGTCGCCAACACAACAACCACACCTTGAGTTAACGAGTTGCATGACCCAGTGTCAAGGAATAGTCCGAGAAAACCGGACAACTCGCCAACTGCACTGGCTAACCATTACCCCGGAATACGATCCGCAAATCGATTAACATCCAGGTCCCCAATTACTGCTGAGTAGACAGAGGCAAATGGCGTAAAGAAACTTGCCCACAGTTTCACCCTGCCCGGGGATAGCACTCGGGTCCGCTCACTTGCGAGGCGAGGATGATCACCATTAGACCACGTCACACACATACATCACATACATATACTGTACACACATACACACACATACATGCACATATATCTTATATATCTTATTTGTGGCACTTATGTTACTTGTATATTATTTGTAATTCGAAACCCATTCCCCAAATATGTAACTGTATATTTTCAGCCTTCTGGTTGCCAAGCTCTTTCAATAAACCGTTAATTATTATTATTATTATTATTATTATTATTATTATTATTATTATTATTATACATACACACATACATACATACATACATACATACATACATACATATTGCGTAAGATCATGATACAAATTTGAGTTGATTCGGGATATATATAAACAATATACATAGGCAGACAACCTAATTTATTTCACTTGAGGATTATAAACCTTAATCTTAAGTTTGGGGTTAGGTTAGGTTATGTTAGGTCAGGTTAGAGTGCGATTAGCGTTGGGTTAGGTTAGAGTGCGATTAACGTTAGGTTAGGTCAGGTTAGATTAGAGTTAGGTTAGGTTAGCGTTAGGTTTGATTGCCGTTAGTGTGTTTACTCATCAAGTCAATTGGGGGTGTCTAATCTTCAGGTAATCCGACTTAAAATGTCATCAGCTGGTAGAGAAAAAATTTTTTAGAGGAAGAAAAAAAAATGATATCGTGTTCCTTGTGTAATATCCGGACTAAGGGAAGAGGAGTGAAGGAGATGGGAGGTGAGAGGAGGGGGAGGTGAGAGGAGGGGGAGGTGAGAGGAGGGGAGTGAGAGGAGGGAGGTTAGGAGGGGGAGGTGAGAGGGGGAGGTGAGAGGAGATGGGAGGTGAGAGGAGGGGGAGGTGAGAGGAGGGGAGGTTAGAGGAGGGAGGTGAGATGGAGGGAGGGTGAGGAGGAGGGGAGGTGAGAGGAGGGGAGGTGAGAGGAGGGGGAGGTGGAGAGAAGGGAGCCCGGACAAAAGCCCCCAATAATAGGACAGAAGCCCCCTGTCTTTATGTTAAGGAGAGGGTCATTAGAAATATTTAAAATATATAGATTTAAATATGAAATTATTACGATTTAAATAATTAGAATATTATAACTTTCAATTTTGATATAGAACATTGTTAAATAAATAGAAAAGAAAAAATACGACACCTTCATGTTCATTCTGTATTTACTGAGGTGACCCGAGGGCCCAGTGAGGTCACTGAATGTCAGGGGAGTAATTACCCCAGTAGACAAAACATACGTCATTGTAGATTTAATAAACAATCCTTGTATACTTCTTTATAACTATAACAGAATTCGAAAGGTTAGGTTAGGTTAGGTTAGAGAAGTGTTCATAAACTGTAAAAAAATAAAATAATAAATTTAAAATTTCTTATTATTTGTCCTAGGCTTTTGTCCTAGGGGGCTATTGTCCTAGGGGGCTATTGTCCTAGGGGCTTTTGTCCCTAGGG